CGCAACTACGGGGTGTGTGTTTGTTGAGGATCCCAATTGCAAGTTGCCCATCGACTCGCAACTAGGTGTGTGTGCGTGTGTGTGTGCGTGTGTGTGTGTGTTATTCATGGCCCCCAGTTGCAAGTTGACCATCAACTCGCAATTAGGGGGTTGTGTGTCTATTGAGGACCCCCAGTTGCAAGTTGACCATCGACTCGCAATCAGGGGATGCTGTGTGTGTGTGTGTTTTATTCATGTCCCCTAGTTGCAAGTTGACCATCAACTCACAACTGGGGGTCTTGTGTGTGTGTGTGTCTTTTGTTGTGGCCCCCAGTTGCAACCCGCTCATCGACTCACAACTAAGGATATGTGTGTGTGTGTGTGTTTGTAGAGGGTGTATTTTTTGTTGTGTCCCCTAGTTACACCCAGCTCATCGACTCGCAACTAAGGATGTCTCTCTCTCTGTATCTCTCCCCGAGTAATTGACAGACAGAAAGGATGTCTCTCTCTCTATATCTCTCCCCGAGCAATTGTTTTGCAATGTCAGGTTAGTATCCACTGCATGTCGAGACAACACTCACGCCCGAATTACAAACAAGCTAAGGATAGATTTCCACACTAGTAATATGCTCATCCAATTCATAGATGGTTGTAGGCCTATTTGTTTTGTTCCAAATGTATTGAACACACATACACACAAAAAAAAAGAGACACGGACAAGGCTGGACACACAGTTCAGCCCACTAATGACCCATATTAACGATCCAAACAGCGCACCTGGGAAGAAAACCAGCCGCCTATCGAGAAAGCAGCATAAGCTATCGATCACGCTGCCTAAAAAAAAGCTATCGATCACGGAGGTAAATACCAGTATCAATACATGATGATGTCATCCTGTTGTCATTTGAATGAGACCAAACTATATCTCATTCAGCTGAGTTCTAGGCGCTTCCTAAAATATATGCATATTGTGGACAAAGCTTTTCTTTGCCCAATATGTATTACTTGCCTCTCCTACCTCTAAGTTTTGGGAGGAGAGGATCGGAAGCAAAAAAGAGAACCCAAATACCCCCAATCTCTTTGCATCCCCTTTTCGGCCATTGATGCAGCTTCCCTCCTCCCATCCCCTTTGGGTGCAGTCTATGATTCTTCTTCTTACTAATGACTTGTCATATCCAAATGTCGCCACCGTGATGGTAAGGGGCATTGTCTTGCGCTTCTCTTCTATGGCATTGTCCACCCATGTCTGTGACCACCTTGCGCGCCTGGTCAACCATTGCATTACTCTCATCTTCTTATCTATCACAAGCCACGTTGTTGCTTTACTGACACAAAATTAGTACTTCCTCCGTCCCATAATGTAAGACGTTTTTTGACACGTATCAAAAAACGTCTTACATTATGGGACGGAGGGAGTAGTTAGGAATATGGATTTTGCCTTTTTTGGGGTGTTGGTTAGGGCTCCTGATTCTTTGCACGCCGCGAATGAAAATTGCACTTTTTTATAGAGAGATGTAGCTTATGGAGTGTAGGTTGGGTGAACAATCAATATAATTACCATTTAAAAATCTTTCTAGATTCAACTGGATTCAGCCTGGCAGCTCATGAACCAACCACTTGCTAGCCCAATATAATTTCATTCTTTTTTATACGGATTGTGGTTTCAATTCCCGGCCTTAATTTTGCAAGGTTCGATTACTGGTGCAGATATGTCTCTTAGTCTAAATGTGTACTAATTGTCTCTTAGTCTTCGGAGGAGTGGAGCAAAGGAAAATAAGGGCCAGTTCTCTCGCTATCACGAGAAGATGGCCTGCGTAGTAGCGTACTGTGGACGCACGCGCCTTTCGCCCCGCCCCCCATTCGTGTCTCGGTCTCGCTCTCGGGTCTCGCTCTCGGGAGCAGAAGCAGAGCAGCAGGGGCCAAAAACCCCACCCAACCCCTTTTCCCTTCCGGCCATCGCCGCGGCCGGCCCTCGTCTCCTCCCCCAATGCCGCCTCCGCCTCCGCCTCTCGCTCAGGAGATGCCCCGCCCGGCCGCCGCCGCCGCCCGGGAGGACCACGCGACCATGGTAAGGACCTCGTCCTCGCCATCCCCTCGTCGCGATCACCCAGCGGCGTTCTTGCGCCCCCCTCCCCTCCCCTTCGCATCCTCTCGAGCATCCTGCGAAATCGGCGCCCGGGAGCGGCGGATTTCGCCGTCCCGGCTGTTGGTTAGGGCATGATTTCGCGTCGTGTTTTCTTTTGTGAGAAAAAAGGGGGCGGATTTCGACTACAGCGCCTTTCATGTATGCTCCTCAACCCGATTCGGCCCCGGAGGTTGCTCGATGTTGTTGCGGTTCTTGTAAAATTGGGGGTTTGGAGGCCTCTAGGCAGACTGGATCTGTCTGACCAAGGGGCATATGCGTTTGAAACGAGCTGTCTTCCAGGGTTCTGTGCAAAAGAATCCGTGAACAAGACTGATAATCTGTGCAATTTCAATACTTGATGATGGTTCTGCTTACCCTGCAGGACGTCGCACGCCCAGCAGCAAGGTGTGAGATATGTGGGAGTGGAGAGAACCAGCACGTTATGTTCAGCTGCATCCAGTGCAACGGCTGTCAACATCGGTATATGCCCTTTTTCTTTACCCTGTTTTGTTGAGCTTTCACCTTGGTTCAGGTGTTGAGCACTCGGAAAGTGTACTGCTTGCCACTCTGCCAAAGTATGCATATATTCCCTTTTTTTCTGTAACCCTGTTTACTTTGTAGTACTTTGTACGTATGAAATGCTTGGATGGAATAAGAGAATTGCAGAGTGTTTGATATCAAACTAGGATGGATTTTGCAATAGAAAACTGATGCAGAGAGCCAAAGATATTGAATTAGACTCAAAGCATTCCTAGATGATCCAAAATTTATTATATCCTTCTTTTGATCTAAGGAAATTGTGTCCAAGTGCACTACCCCCTCCTTCCACAATTATAAGATGTTCTAGCAGTTTCTGATTTGGATGTGTATAAACGCATTTTAGTGTCCTTGTTCACTCATTTCAGTCCATATTGAAATATCCAAAACATCTTATAATTGTGAACGGAGGAAGTATCTTTTACAGCTAGGAACTGAAGCTCATTCGACATGAAAATTCTATCTACCTCTCTGAAAGTTTTTCCTTTTTTTTTTCGTTTTGTAGTTATTGCCTGCTGGTGGTGGAGTTTGAAATGAGATATGACTGGTGTTGCTCTGAATGCAAAAAAAAGGCTAATGGGGACCCAAAACCTATTCAAGGTAAATATAACGATTACAAATATCAGCAATTGTTTCATCCTATTACTAAGTTCTTTCATCAATCTCATTCTTTGAATCATGTAACTAAGTACATTTCCTCTCTAATCATGGTGCAGGTGAAAAAACAGAGTTTCAAAGGCCTGAGAAGGGTCACAGAAATGTGGCCCATCAAATTGGTGTTAAAACACCACAGATATATGAAAATTCTAAAGTGAAGTTCATTCGCTGTGAAGAGGAGGCACTGTTGAGTAGAGAGAGGCCAGCAGTTCATTATACGCGAAGATTTGTCGCGCGACGTAGTCAGGTTAAGCCTGCATCTCCACCAAATCTGAAGTGCTCATCCCCCAGTAGACAGGTTCATCCTGCATCTCCTCCACGTATGAAATGCATATCACCCAGTAGACAGGTCCATCCTGCATCTCCAACTATGAAATGCATATCACCCAGTAGACAGGTCCATCCTGCATCTCCAACTATGAAATGCATATCACCCAGTAGACAGGTTCATCCTGCATCTCCCTCAAGCATGAAACCTTCGTCCAGTATGAAGGGCATACTTCCCAGTAGTCAGGGTCGCCCTCCATCTCCTCAAAGTATGAAACAGTCGTGCAGTATGAAGTGTGTATCTCCCAGTAGGAGTGATGGTCAAGCAGTTTCCTTGAAGCGATGCGCTGTTGCAAGTCAAAACCCGATAAAAGCTGATGATACGAAGAAGAGACAGAAAGTGCAGTCAGGTATTTTCACGCATCTAGTGCCATATCTTTCCTTGTTTAGAACAGCTAGCTGTTGCTTCTGCCTAAAAGTTACAGTTCATGAAGACATTATTTTTGAAAAAACAGGTGCGACGATTCCTACGATTCCACATAATACAAAAGGAGAAGTTACGAGAATTGACCAGCAGCTTCAAGATCAGCCTAAAGAAGAGAAGGTAGCCAATGCAGATGGAGGAAAATGCAACTCCTGGATAGACGATCAACCTACTGGGAAAAGTGCACTCAATGCTTCAGGTGTAATTCGTGATCGCTTGATAGTTAATACTACACTTCTCGATAAAATTAATATTTCACAGAATGATTATTGTTGGCAAGCATTCAAAACCTATCATGTATATATTGTAATTCTTGATTTACACGAAATATATGTATTGATCTTACATCAAATAAAATTTGAGGATTTAAGAGGACTAATCAAATGGTTATGACGGTCTATTTTTGAATTGCTAACAGATTATATTCCATTTCCAAAGTGCTAACAGATGCTGATAGTGGATGTGGATCTGGAACAAAGAGTCTGCACAACAATATAGACATGCCAGTGATCATCAGCTCAAGTGCAGAGTATGCAAGACGCCCTCCACCAGAAGGACATTGCTGGAAGTGAGTATGCTCTCTTTGCGAATTTTTTCATCTCAAGAAGTATGGATCATTTCAACTTGTAATGATCCATTCATGGTTGCTTAATAAAACAAATATGAGGAACTTAGAAATCCAGGGATATTAGAAGGTAAATCTGCTTCTACATGATTCCCATAGTGTTGTTGCTTCAACTTCTCCATCTGTTGTAGATGGTTTAGTATGGGAAAACACAAAATTTGCAGCTCCCGTTTTCATTGATCATTGCTCCAATGACCCGATGATACTGCACTCACTTCATAACTGCAGTGGATCTGCATCTCCCAGGGGTTTATCCATGGCTTTAGTTTTGATTAACCAGAAATTAGCTGATTTTCTACAAAAAAAATTGCTCAAGTAGTATGGGTGTGTTCGGATTCTTGGCTGGGGTATATTAGCTTCCTTAGTAACGATTGGTATTTGGCAAATTGGTAGACGGTAAAAAAATACTTGCTTTGCAGGCTAGGTAACTTTAATCATTCTGTTTTTTTATTCTGATTGTTCGTGATTGATAAAATGGAGTAGGAGTTTCCTGGTTCCAACAGAAAAATATTCTAGATCAATTTCAGAACTGAATCCACTCGAACCTTCTGTGAATAAACATTCACCTTATGGAAAAAATATAAGATACTGTTCTAGCAATAGCCTAAGTGGATTCGATTATTCGGTCCTAGCAAAGTAAGATTAGCAAAAGGTGCAAGAGTGTGTCTGTTTCAGGAGGGAATTAATTCAAAATCTGACAGAATCAGATATTTGTCTATTGGATCTAAATAAAATAAATTAAGATATTTGTCTCTTGGACATTTTGGGTAGTCTAATACTCCCTCCTTTTCGCAATGAGATTCAGTTTTTGGGGAATCGCCATTTCAGGATTTAGGATGCCTGTGTACTGAGGAAACCAAGAATGTTGTTAGTACAATAATTTATGCATGCATATCCACCTCGGAGTGACCACTTGATTCTTGATTGCATGAATTATGTCCCTGTGAACTCCTTACTCCATTATTATGCGACTGTGCCAAGTTGATAATTAAAATGAGGGTACATCTTAATATGCTACCCACAATGTTGGGTTTTCATAATTCAGCTTCATAAGAAAAAGTGCTACTGGTTTCTATGATCAATATGGATTTCAGTTGTCTAAAGTTGTCCATTTTCTAGCATCACACTTTAAATTTTGATATTCTGGTATATCTGATGTAATCAGTGACAACCTTTGTTATGCTCTGACATTCCTTTGCTTTTTAGGGGATGCTTTCTCCTCTCTGATGGAGAAAGTTCTAATCTTGGTGAATTTAAAGCATACTTCCCATCTGTAGTATCACCCAGAGTTTGTGATATCGCCAAGAAGATGCCTAACAATATACAGTTGAAGATATCACCTCGAATGAATTACTGGCCAAAGACCTTTGACGAATTCTGTCCAGTTTATGATGACATTGCCTTGATATTTTTCCCTGCTGAACTTGACTGGTAGGTTTATGATGGTCTCAGTACAAAAAATGGCTTATGTGCTACTGCATATTTGACCTTGTTTATAGCATGCGATTCATATACTTATCGTGCCTTCTTTCCTTTTTATATTTGAAGTTATAACAAAAAGCATCCTCGTCGCTTGGAGGCGTACAACAATTTTGTCATGAAGGCATATATTGATGACATCATGCTGTTGATATATTCCTCGGAAGTGCTTCCACCTGATTCTCAGTGTTAGTGCTCTTACTCTGTATTTGCCTATTTGGATATCTCTGAAAAAGAAAAATACCCATAATATGTTCTTTCTGTTTGATGGGCCCATGTAATTTGTTTTTGCTTATATGCCTGGGTATAAAAATCAAATGCAGTGACTGATTTTTAGTGGTGTGCTAATTTCATACCATGGTAACAGGGATAGACGGAGAGAATTACCTATGGGGAGTTTTTGTGAAGCCGAAGGCAAAGAGCAATCATGCGCACTTAGGTTCAGTTGCTACATGACCTAGTGGTTTCTTTGGGCGTGAACTCATCAGTAAAAGGTACGAGCAAACTGCAAATTATGGTGCTCATGAAAGATTCAGTTAATGCTGTTTTCACACGGTTTTGGCAGCTTTGTTGCTCTCTTTTCTGGTGTCTGCATTATTATTCACAGAACCTGCAATCCTCGTAGAATACTAGAATCTCTTATGTTCGCTTCATTTGTCCTTGTGGCCTAGTAGGCTTGCATGCTCTTAGAATTTAATCACTGTTATCTTTGTAAGCTGGTGAGCTTTTCCCCCCCGGGATTACATGAGTGAACCACCGCGTATTATGAAAAAAAAAAAGAAAAAAAATATAGCTATGTGTAGCAGTGAGCTCGTTTGATAATTCTCATTTTTCAGTTTGATTTGATTCCCTAACAACTTAAAGAAGAATAGCATGATATATCAGCTACTGAGGGGTTTGTGCTGGATATACCATATATCCAATTGGTTGTATGAATAATCGTGTGTGAAACTAGGGTTCTGAATGCGTTTAAACTTTGGACACGCGGCCATTGCTGTGATCTCTGAACGTGCAGTTCAGTTGTCCTATCGTCATGCGAATCATGCCAGATTTTTTTAAATCGTCAAATTAATCCTGTGCTGGGGCAGGCAGTCAATTCGAGGGACGGGTGAGGATGGACTCTCCATCATATGCCACAATGCTCGCATTATGGCACAGAGGCATCGGACTGGTTTAATCCACTCGAGCTCCTTGTTGAAGGAAGCTCAAATGAACCAGCATTGGTAGTTTGTATAGATTGTCATGTCAGTGTAATATGTCATTGTTACTCTGTATGCTTGATTTGCAGTGGCGTATTGCTGCTAAGGCGGGGAAGTGTTACGACTTAGGAAGAAAATCTGTGATGCTAGTGACGTGCTGGAGATGATACAAGTATTATGAGGGTTGTCAATTTAGGAAGAAATGCTCCTCCGATTAGGCTGTTCCCTGCTATGCCAATATGCAGCGACTCTATTTCCCTGTGCATTTCCCTATACAAGTATTTCTAGAGATTCCAGGGGATGCTAAAATTCATATGGAATGTACTGTTTTTATGGGATTCGGTCAAGCAACTGACATAGGAAAAAATCGCAAGGAATTCAATCCCTCAAAATTCCTTTGAATCAAATCTGGCTTGGAGAGGTAAATTTTTCGCAAATTAGAGGGCATTTCTGAAATGGATGAGACGAGAAGCAAGGAACAAACTACTACGCGTTGACACTTGGTGTGCTAGGATTTGAGGACAAGCTGTTAATTGACACTTCATACACTCTAAAAACATTCAGTTAATTACACCTAAAGTACATATTCTTGAACCTTAGACATCAAGAATATGACATCGCTGAATATGAAGTTAGATATTGTTAGCCTATGAGACCACAGTGTGATGTTAGACAGTTAGAGGTAATGTTCCGGATGACTTCGCTGCTGCTCACGTCTAGACCATAAAAAACTTTGTTGCTCCCATGTTTTCCGAAGAATGATCAGTAAGATAAAACTCTTGATGGATGAATTGTGCAGTCGACACGCACGTAGCGAAGGATTGCAAGGTACTAGTGTTATATTTGCGACAAAATTGCTCATCCAGTGTTGCGATGCTCGGTTCTTAAACTCCCTAAGAGCATCTACCGTCGTGTTTGGCAAATCCGACCCCTCAAACACCCACGGACGTGCCCGGGTGCGTCCGCGGGCACTGACCGGTCAAGCTTCAAATTTCACTTCTCACAACCGGACATCTCAATTAGCATACCTCAAATCCATACAAACTCGCGCAACTACGTTACACATCGGCTACTACATTTACAACATGACATCAGACTACCAAAATTTGGCATGTTTGGTTATGATGGAGAAGATCATCCCCGGCTGCCCTTGCCCTTCCGAGCGCAATTGTCGTCCTTCTTGCGGAAATACCGGTCGAAGACGCAGTAGGTATCGAGCCAGATCTGCTCGTCGCCAGAGTTGTCCTCCTTCTCCTCCTTTGGTGGCAGTTCGGTCATGGCACGGACCGCCCGATTCTGCTCTCGGGTGAGGGCACGCGCGTTCCTCCGCTGCCGCTTCTTCACAATGCGGGCGCGGATGGCTCCCTCCTCTGCGGCCGCCCGCGTCGCTACATCAGCCGCCTCCGCCTCCGCTGCCACCATGTCGGCAGCGAGACGGGCCTCGGCGGCCCTTATCCTGTCCTTCCCACGGTGGGCACACCGGTCCCGGTGGTACTCATAGCCCACTCGACAGGCGATGGGGAAGGAGAGATTTTACGGCTGCCGGGACTGTGATGGTCTAGCCCCAGAGGATCTGAGGGCCCGTTGAGTCGATGCTATGGTGTCGCGCCGGATAGATCCTGCCGTCGGCCAGGCGATGTCCTTCCGGGAGCGGCGAAGTACAATCCGAACGGCCATTGCGTCCTCCATCCCGCACAGATGACACCCCAGCCGACGGATCCGGACTAGTCGGAGTCAGATCCGCTGCCCGCCATGCTGGAGACGGCCGGAGATTGCCAGAGGTGAGCTTGGGTGGCGGAGGGGAGTGGTTAGAGTTTGGTTCGACGAGCGAATGGGGAGGAATATATGCGGGGTCGAGTGGGCCAGCGTGGGCCGGGTCCGTCGTGGCGGACGCGCCCGGGCGCCCCCTGTCCGTCCCATATTTGGACCGGATATGAGGGGTGTCGGTCAGCCACGACGTTTGAGACGCCCGTTTGGGTCGATTTTTCATGACCGGTTAGTGATTGGGCCGTCCGCCCGGGCGTATTGGGTGGCTTTGGGGCGTCCGACTGTAGATGCTCTAAGCCCAATGCTTTTGTTTCGAGAGTAGGTGCATAAGAGACTTATTTTTGCTCAGCTTCCCGATTGCGTTGTGAAGGATCATTTGGCACTGACACAGACTCCTATTGCTCGTGTTCAGGTCAACGGTATGATGGTTCCGACTGGTATCATTGAGAGTCAGATAGCCAGGAGATGCCTGGTTCAGAACCAATGGAAGTGGGAGGTTATACAACATGGGCCAGATACCTACATGGTTAGCTTTCCTTCCTTTGAGGATTTCGTTAGGGCTGGCGGTACTCAGATGAATGTGACATCGGTTAATGCTCAAATGTCTCAGGAAATCCCACATAAGTTGGAACTTAAGCATCTTTGGCTTCATGTTGAGGGTGTTCCCCGTAGAGTTCGTCATTTTTGGGGTCTGTGGGCAGTGGTACTTTTATGGGCAAGACCTTGGACATTGATCTCATCAGCTTGAGACGTTGTGGGGTTGTCCATATTCTAGTGGCCATGACGAACACTCAGATTTTGTCATTGCCAGTCTGAAGGGCCGCAAGCAAGTGAGTGTCATTGCTTTCTTGTAGGAGGAGGATCAAAACTCTATTAAGGTGGGATTTACAGATAGTTTCATGGATTTTAAGGGGTAAGGGAAGGCGGCACCAGGTTTTAAGTTGTGATCAAGTTCTTCCAAGAGCAACAACCAATGACAACACATGATTTCAAAGTAGGTAGGTCGTGTCCCATGGTTTTTGGAGAACAAGAAGGTAGCTTGGCCAGAAGGACCATATGTTCTCAAACCAGAAAAGTGCGCCATGAGGATTCAAAATTTTAACAGTAATTAGTAGTGGCACCTGGCTGGAAAGAAGTTGAGTCAGCACACGATGGCTGAATTGAATTTGGAAACAACGGATCCCAGGCAACGTTAGTGCAAATGATCAATTTTTAGGACCCTATTAGCTGACGAACGTTTGCTGGGGGATGGAAATTGTGAATGTTTTTCATGAGAAGTTTAGTTGTAGGGGCGTGGTGACGAAGTCGATTCAGGCGAATCTCGGGTAGCCTATGTGAGATGGTAACAAGGATATGAGGTTTTACCTTGGTTCGTGCTCTCTCTCAAAGAGATAACACCCTATGCCATGCTTGTGTTTGTATTTGTTTGGGTTGAAGTAGAAAGTACAGGTTGATCTACCACGAGATTGTTCTATGTTGAGATGTTGAATCCTCCATTGACTAGCCCAACCCTGGTTTATATAAGTTACCAGAAGCCTAGAATAATAGGAGTCCTAGTCGGCTACGTCGGTGGAGAGGAGTCCTTGTCTTGAACGACAAGGCTTCTGGAATCTTCCTTGTATGTGTCATGGGCCGCCCAAAATGGCCCCGGATGGAACCAACCTAGGGGTCCTCAGCCTGGCCCACCAGACTGGGAGTCAACATGGTGAGAGGCCCCCTAGCTGGGATACTGTCAGTAGCCCCTTGAAACACGTCTTCAAGCTGGTAGCACCTCAGCTTATCTAAGTTGCTCGTCGTCTTCGGTCGCCGCTCTTGAAACTAGTTCAATGAGAACCTTCCCCAATCAATGTCTTGTTTTAGCCAAGCTTTGATGTCGGACTACATCCAAGGTGACGTAGACCACCTCGGTCTTGAAAATGTTGAAGGAGTTTAGCCGAGATGCATGCAGAAAAAAATCTCCTATGCAGCCAGCTGCTCACAACAGGCCTCCATGTCGGACTGCTTCCGAAGTGGCACACGCCACCTGTTCTTGAGTTTTTCAATGTAGATGGACGACCTCCGTGGAATTTTTTCTTCCGCCAAGACGGTTTTCGCGAGTCAATTTTTCATGGAACTTTTTCTGATTGGTGCAATTTATTCTCTGCCAAGATATATAGCCAATATCCCTCAAGACATGTGTCGGCTCAAAATTCAGTATGCACCTAAAAAGGATAAAACCGCTAATCCCAGTAGCCCTCGAGACCCAGGTCGATTTGCCAAATCGGTCTGGGGATCGAATTATCGTTTTGTAGCATATTTTTAGGGGAAAACGTGGTGTGCAATAGCCCCCGAGACTCAGGTCGAGCGCGAGCGGCCGACCTGAGGATCGAAACTCCTCGAAAACTTTATAGCCCTTTGAAATTCCTGCATTGAATTGTCAATGTAGTAGCCCCCCGAGACTCGGGTATGGAAACTTGGCCAACCCGTGGATCGCATCTCCACGGGAGCTAG